GTAAATATCACATTTGCAACTGGTCAGTGTTAATATCACATTTGCAATTCAGTGTTCAAAAAATGCTGGGAAATCACTTCATGTAGCCCTACAAGAGTGATTACTGATAAACCGTCTAAAAAAGAAAGAAAGTCACGTTACAGAGAAGAAAAAAATCACCTACTGACTTTCAAAGCTGCTAACAACTTTCTACTTCGAGGACCTTGATAGAAATGCAGTGGAGTGAAAAGTACAATATTTGTCTTTCAAATGTAGTGAAGTTAAAGTCATAAGTTCCCAGAAAAAATAATACTCAAGTAAAGTACAGATACTCAAAAAGTGTACTTAAGTACAATACTCAAGTAAATGTACTTAGTTACTGTCCGCCTCTGATGGTATGGCACGGTACGGTTCACTTTTGGGGGGTTTTCCACTGGGTACAGTACCTGGCACCTGGTATTTTTTTTAGTACCACTTCAGTTGAGGTTCCAAGTGAACCGTACCGTTACCAAAACATGACGTGTAAACTCTGCTGATCAGGGATTGGCCGGAGAGAATCGTCACTACCTGCGTCACTGAACGAATGAAAAAGTTTTTCAGGAGTCACGGCAATAGAGGTGGCGCAACTATAACGACATGTGAATAATCCCGCCAACGCTAAAACGATACTAAACTGCAGTGGAAACGCAAACCGAGCCGAGCCAAGCCGTACTGAGCTGAGTCGTACCACGCAGTGGAAAAGCGCCATAACTACTGGGGTGCCTCAGGGCTCGGTTCTTGTGTAACTGGTATAAAAAGTATCATGTTCATATATATATATAGAATTACACAAAAAAATGTTCAGATGTGAACCTGATATGCCTGTCTCTGTGTATTCTATGGCGGTCCTTCAGGTCTTCCAGGCCAAAATCCTCACATCCGCCGAGTCTGGCCGGGACCCCGCTACCCTCAGGGATCTGAGGAGTGCGACGGACCTGGCTCTACGAGCCACCAAGGCCACTGCCCAGGCGATTGGGAGATCGATGGCCAGCCTTGTGGTGCTCGAGCGCCATTTATGGTTGACGCTGACGGAGATGAAGGATGCGGATAAGATCCCCTTCCTCGATGCTCCTGTCTCCCCCAAGAGCCTTTTCGGCCAAGCGGTCAAAGGGTTTGCTGAACGCTTCACGGAGGCACAGAAATCGTCCCAGGCTACGCGACATTTCCTGCCTAAGCGCTCCAGCTCCAGCGCCTCAGGCTTCTTCATGATCCACAAGGTAGGAAGAGGATGGGGTCAGATCTTGCCATGGCCGGTCCACCCCTCAAGCAGCCTCTCTTACACCTCTTGACACCTCGTTCATCTCCGGGTACAGAGGGAAATGTATTTTGTGCAAACAACGGGCCCATTCATGCGCCCAAGTATCTGACCGCTGTGATAGCGGGAAAAATAATAAAACACAAACATTTTCAAAAAGAGAGCAAACTTCCTCTTCCATCACTCGTACGTGTTCTGCCCCCATGCGGCCAGTCACCTGAGTTAATTCAACCCCTCGTCACGTGGGCCAAGGCCTGACAGGCCATCCCCGGGGTGTCGGAATGGGTTATGGGCATAATAAAGCGAGGATATTCACTCCAATTCGCTCGAAGACCCCCGCGCTTCAGCTGCGTGGTCCCCACCTCCATGCAGAGCAAGGTCGCCCATGTCCTGCGCTCGGAGGTGATTAATTTGCTGGCAAAAGGAGCTGTGGAAAGGGTTCCTCCAGCCCAGAGTCCGTATTGTCAATTACCTCAACAACTGGCTCGTCCTGGCCCAGTCGGAGGCAGAACTAATATCTCACAGAGCCCTCCTCCTCAGCCACCTGGAGTGCCTGGGAATGAGGGTCAATTTTGTCAAAAGCTCATTGCTTCCCAGCCAACGAATCTCGTTCCTGGGAACAATCTTCGACTCAGCTTCGACCTTAAATGAAACCTGTAGTCACACCAGAACAAGCTCTGGCCATACGGAGGCTGGCGACCTCCTTTAAGATTGGTACCGCTCGCCCACTCAAAGCATTTCAAAGGATGCTGGGCCTCATGGCAGCAGCATCTCCAGTGTTACAGTTGGGTCTGCTGCGTATGCGCCCCCTTCAGCGCTGGTTGAAACCACGGACGCCTGCATATCAGGGTGAGTCAGGCCTGTGTATCGGCCCTGACCCCCTGGAAGAACTCCCGTGTGATGGAACAGGATGTGGCCATGGGGATGGTTCACAAAAGGACAGTTGTCACGACAGACGCCTCCAACTCAGGTTGGGGGGGGCGCTGTGCGAGGGCATACCGACCTTCGGCCACTGGTCGATGGCGGAAAAAGGCTTCCACATCAACTGCCTGGAAATGTTAGCAGTATGTCGAGCCTGTCAGTTCTTCCTGCCAGTCCTGGAAGGGCACCATGTGCTAATCCGATCGGAGAACATGTCGGTTGTGTCCTCTCTTCAAAGCGCCTCTTCATGCTAGTGGAGCGCTTCTCAGAGTGGGCTCAACCCAACCTGCGCTCGCTAAAGGCAGCGCATATACCGGGCAAATTGAACCGAGGAGCGGACATGTTATCAAGGAGCAATGTCCTCTCAGGAGAGTGGACACTCCATCCGCAAACGGTTCAGAAAATCTGGGAAATCTTCGGCGAGGCCGAGGTAGACCTCTTCGCCTCAGAAGACAACTCTCACTGCCAAATTTATTTCTTAAAGACCAAGGACGCGTTGGCCCACAATTGGCCCAACCTCCTTCTTTACACATTCCCCCCGATCGCTCTGATCCCACAGGTAATCAGGCGAGTGAGGGAACAAAAACACAGGGTTCTCCTGGTAGCCCCCCTGTGGATGAACCAGCTGTGGCTATCAGAGCTGACTCAGCTACTGATAGCGGCCCCTTGGCCTGTTCCACTGAGACGGGATCTCCTCTCTCAAGCGAACGGGACATTATGGCATCCTCGGCCCGACCTATGGGCCCTGCACTTCTGGCCGCTGAACGGGAGCCTTCGTGCCTCCCAGAGCGAGTCTTAAACACAATTTCGGAGACTAGAGCTCCATCTACGAGACGCCTCCATGCCTTAAAGTGGTCTTTTTTTCTCCGCCTGGTGTTTAAACCGTGGCAAAAACCCTCTCACTTCCGAATTAGCAGAGGGGCTGTCTTTTCTACAAGAGCTGCTGGATAAGGGTCGCTCCCCATCCACGCTCAAAGTCTATGTGGCGACTATAGCGGCCTCTCATGTCCCTATTGAGGGCCAATCAGTGGGCAAAAATAGCGCGGTCATCCGCTTCCTGAAGGGTGCAAGGAGGCTGAATCCGCCTCGTCCCCCTACCGTCCCTTCATGGGACCTGCCCACTGTGCTGAGGGCCCTAAAGGGCCCCGCTTTCGAGCCGCTACAAGCCGCGAACATTAGGTTGCTATCGCTAAAGACTGCTCTGCTTCTAGCACTAGCATCAGTAAAGCGAATAGGAGACCTGCAGGCGCTCTCAATTAACTCTGCCTGTCTGGAATTCGGGCCTAACGACTCTAAAGTTGTCCTGAAACCGAGGCACGGTTACGTACCTAAAGTGCTATCCACTCTGTTCAGAGCACAGGTCATTGCGCTCTCCGCGCTTCCTCCAACTGAAGAGGACAAAGAGCTATCTCTGGCCCGTCAGGGCATTGAGAATCTATATTGAGCATTCCGCTCCCTATAGGCGATCGGAACAACTCTTTGTCAGCTTCGGTAACTGCACCAAGGGGTTTCCGGTTACGAAGCAAAGACTCTCTAGATGGATAGTAGACGCCATCTCGCTAGCATACTCTTCCTTGGGCCTCCAATGCCCCATTGGAGTACGGGCCCACTCGACTAGAGGCATCGCCTCGTCGTGGGCATGGTCCAGTGGTGTGTCCATTGCAGATATTTGTGAGGCGGCCGGCTGGGCCTCGCCGTCCACATTTGCAAGGTTTTATAACCTGGAAGATCCTTTCCGCTTGAAATGGCACACGCTGCGTAAACAGACATGACAGAGAGCCAGGCCGGGTGTGACCTAGAAAGCTCAGCCCACTTAGCCTTGGGTTATTGTTGACTTCTCTATAAGCATTGGTTGCTTATGGAAGTTATACCTTTAGTCGTTCCACTACATTAGCAAGGCATGATTCGACTGTTCCCATATGCGTCTAAAGCAAGACGCAGTACAAGTGAAGTATCGAAAGGGAACGTACTCGGTTACTAACGTAACCTCGGTTCCCTGAGTAACCTTTGTAACCTTGGTGCCCGCTTATATAGCCAGATGCCCCGCCCATTCTGGTGGGGTTTGGCGGGCTTCGTCGCCATAGGCTCATGCAGCTCTGCTGCCGCGCCATTGGTTCGTTTTTAAAGCCCTGCACGAACCAATGGCCGTGCAGTTTCACTGCGTGAATGAAATAGGCTTTCAGTTCAGGAGAAAAAAAGGCTTTTTCCCATATGCATCTAGCAAGACGCAGTACTCGTTCTCGTATCTCAGGGAACCGAGGTTATGTTAGTAACCGAGTACGTTTTTTGTTGTTGGTTTTAGTCTTTTTTATTCATTTTTTTTAAATTACTATATAGATTTTTAGAGTTAGACAGAGTTGTTCATTATTTCATTTTTGTTTTTTTATTTTAATGCAGTACATCAAGTTAAACTACATAAAATAAAATAAAATGTTTCCTTGATAACTGAATAACTGCAATAAAATGAGTTTTCCATTTTACAACATTTACTTTTAATATTTATATCTATTTTATTTCCATTTTGTCTTTTTGATTTAGTTTAGTTTTCATTTTTACTCTCATTGTTAAAGTTTAGTTTAGTTGTTCATGGTCTCAGTTGGTTTAGTTTTTATTTTTAGTATTTTAGGTTTGTATTTTAGGGTATTATTATTGGTTATATCAGTTTATTGGTATCATTTAAACATATTTAACACTATGGTTTAAGGCTGTCTAATGGCATTTTTATGTTTTATGCAGGCTGGTTGTGAGGTCTCAAGTTTTATAATATGCCATGCATGTAGCAAAACTATATAACACTTCTAATGGAAAGAAAAACAATTTCCGTTTTATTGTACACAGTGGCTCTGAATGGCCACAGCTTCTCAATGGAATTTGACATGGAAGAGAATTCTCGAGATGCAGAGGAAAAATTAAAGATGTGTAAAGGCCTGACGTTATGCGTGTGCTATGCAGCTAGCATTGGTGGGACAGCCACGCTCACAGGCACGGGACCAAACCTTGTTCTTATGGGACAGATGAGCCAGTAGGTACCTTACATTACAGTTTTTCTCCTAAGCATGAGAGAAATGTACCGTAATGCACAAGAATGTACCTTTTGCTTACTTTTGTATTAGCATATTAAATCAACATTTGTTTGTCACAGACTGTTCCCAGACAACCCTGACATCATAAACTTTGCATCATGGTTTGGATTTGCCTTCCCCAACATGATCATCATGCTCACACTGGCCTGGCTGTGGCTACAGATTGTGTTCCTGGGTGTAAAGTGAGAGTTCTTTCCTAATGAATCAAACTCAACTGCATTATATACGCCTATACCACCATATAATATACATTTAATTTGTAACTTAAGCTTCAGAAAGACATGCGGCTGTGGAATGGTGAAGACAGAGAAGGAGATTGCTGCCTATAATGTAATCAAAGAGGAGCACAGGAGACTTGGTCCCATGACCTTTGGGGAGCTGAGTGTCCTTGCCCTCTTCGTCCTCCTGGTGGTGCTTTGGTTCACTCGTAATCCAGGCTTTGTGGATGGCTGGGCGACACACTTTTTCAATGCTGAAAAAGAGTAAGGATGAAAACACCAACATTAATGAGACAGAGAATCAGTTTTAGTGGTGTTTTTGCTAAGGCACGTGTCACTAATACAATTGTTTATACTGAGTAGGTTGTACTACAAACGTTAATGATACTGTACCCTAATCATGCGGTTTGTTGAGGAAAGGTGCGTTATTACTTATCAGGCTTATAGTTTCCACCTAAAATGGTTAAAAACACCAGAGAGTTCTTATAGTAGCATGCGAAGGAAAAAGAGTAAGAACACCTCAGCAGCTGCATAGCAACTCCCTGGCAACCATCCACAACACTGTATACTTTAAAAACAAATCTGTGAAATTTACGATAAATAAACAACATCTGTGGTTGCCGGAAATTTACCATAAAAATATGGTAGCAACATTTTAGGTTTTACATAATGAACTTAAATTTACAGTAAAAAAAAAGTATATTTCATTAACTAATAATGTTAATACACCGACATCCTGAAGTACTAAAATCTGTGTTGTATTTTGTTTAGAATGTAATATTGTAATGAGAAAGCCAAATGTAGAATGAAAGCCCATCACAAATAGCTTTTTCACAAGCTGAAGGGAAAACTAATATAAGGTGCATAGTGTCATGCACACATATACAAAACATCATAACAAACATGACACTAAAATAATGCAATAAACATTAATTTAATAACATAATATTTCACATAAAACCCTGCACTCTGGGAATATAAATGTAATTTTTTTTTTCATTGTAAATGATAAGATTTGTTCTTTTTCACTTCCAATAAATAAATAATTTAATTAAACAGTACATTTAACAGTATTTTGCTGTAAAATTACATTAAATGTTTTGTTTTGTTAAACATAATATTCTCATTTTGTTTTGCAAAGTAGCATCACTTTAAAACGTGGCTTGATTTGTTTCAAACCCTACTTATTGCTGGTTGTAATGAAAGGCAAATATATTTAATGCAAAATGTCACCATGAAATGAAATATCAGATAAATATATCACCTCAAATATCCTCAAAAATATATATTTTTTCAAAGACTTTATAAAAATTTGACAAAATAGACATAATGTTGAGAAAACATTAATAGAATGACCTTAGGTCTATGGGAAAAATGCTTCTAAAATTGAGCAAAGTAATGGAAATTTCAACTATCAGTGTAATGTACAGATTGAACCATTGCTTAACACAAACAACGTGTTCTCCTGTTATCAGTTGTGGCATGTTCCTATTTGTAGGTCAAATGTCCAGCAAAAATGTGAATGGAGTTTCCCCACAATGCAAACAGCATTTGTGTACATTTCCTGATGATGCAGACCGGGAGAAAAGGACAGGTGAACACTCTCTCTGCAGCAAGAGCGAGGCACGCGGGATCTGGGCCGGCGTGAGCTCGCTCGTGAACGATCGCTCGACCCCTTTGCCCCTCTGTTTTTTCCTCACAGGTCCCTGGGAGGAAGAAAACGGGAGGGCGCGGGGGGCGGAGTCGCTCTCTGAAAAGAAAGCGATCCGTGAGCGGAGAGAGGCGAGACTAAAACTCTCTCAATGAGAGCAAATAGCTCCTGTGAGCGCAGCTTCCTCATGGGGTTTCCCCAAGCAGGAAACGCACTCCTTGTGGCCGTCATCGGCATGCAGGGGAGACCCGCAATAATGGTGCGAACGCTGCTGCTCTTTTAGAAGCTCTTTGAAGTCGCCGGATGGGCTAGTGGAGCTCCGCTGCCGTGCCATTGGTTAGTTTTTAAAGCCCTGCACGAACCAATGGCCGTGCAGTTTCACTGCGTGAATGAAATAGGCTTCAGTTCAGGTGAAAAAAGGCTTTTTCCCATATGCGTCTTAAGCAAGACGCAGTACTCGTTCCCGTATCTCAGGGAACCGAGGTTACGTTAGTAACCGAGTACGTTTTCGTGTCCCTGGCGTCCTGACAAAGTTTGATGTTTCGCCATGAAACAGGAAGTTGCTGTAACTCAGGCAAGCAATGTCCGATCTGCCCCAAACTTCACATGTTTGATAAGAGTCCTGGCCTGAAGACATACCCATGCCCAAATTCAGTTATAGTCATAGCGCCACCTGCTGGCAACAGGAAGTGACATGTTTAACACTGTTATGGACTCCTAGGAACATATTAAAAAGCGTCAACAAGTGTTAAATAGGCTGGCATGCTAGAAGCATACTAAAACATGCTAGCAACACTTAGCTAAGTGCTAAAGCATGCTATTAACGCCATCAAACAGGACGTTGCTGTAACTCAAGCATGCAATGTCAAATCTGCCCCAAACTTAACATGTTTAATAAGAGTCCTGGCCTGAAGACATCTACATGCCCGTATTATCTTATAATCATAGCACCACCTACTGGCAACAGGAAGTGACATGTTTAACACTGTGATGGACTATAAGCAACACATTAAAATAAGCCATTGCGTGCTAAACATGCTAGAAACATGCTCAAACATACTAGCAACACTTACTAAGTGCTAAGCATGCTAGTAATACCATGAAACAGGAAGTTGTTGTAACTTAAACATGCAAGGTCCAATCTGCACCAAACATCACATGTTTGATAAAAGTGCTGGCCTGAAGACATCTACATGCCAACATCCAGTTATAATCATAGCGCCACCAGCTGGCAGCAGGAAGTTTGGCACATATAAATGACTTTGAAATATTCCTCCTATATTTACCACTTTAAATCTATATTGCCCACCGTTTGCTGTTTTCCTAAATACACCGGGTGCCGGTGAGCCCGGGTGCGAGGGCCCTTTCATTGCTTCTTGCAGATTTATTTATCATTATTGCTGTCTTACGTTTTATTTTATTTTACAGAACAACAGTATAAATACAATAGTAATTCATGAAAGTTGATAAGAGTTCTTGCTTTTTGTCAGTTTTAATTTTGACGGAAATCCACAGGAAGTCCACAGTTCTTCTTTTTGTTGATTGATTCTCATTAAGGTTTTGGGAAGATGTTGGTCGCACATATCACATTGTCACATGCTTTGTAAAACTTCATAAAAATGTTACTGAGCAGCTGACGAGTAGCACTGTTTCAGCGCAGATTTTCCTCGCGCTTTGAACTTTGAACCCTGGCTAACGAGCTTGTGCAGCGCTGTCAGAATACATGCAGTGCGTGCGCGTGTTAAAAAACATCACATTCTGCAGTTTATTTACTAATTGTTCAAGGCCATTTCGCAATTTCAATAATCATACAGTAACCAGCAACAACCACTCTCCTCTCCTCATCGAAGACATGCAATGCAGTGCTAAACAGTCTCTCGCTGCCGGTGCTTGTAATGATTTTTGCGTCTTTCTCGGACAGCTTTAAATGCTTCCACGCTGCGACATGTTTGCTGCATTAGAGCACGCCTCTCACTCTAAGCAGGTTGCTATTTGATCACGTCACGTCACTGTTCGGTACAATGTTGGGTCTTTTCGCTTATTCGGCTGAACACCGAAAGAGCTTTTTTTTTACTATTTTTGGCCAAATAATTTTGGTTGCCGAACATTTGGTGCATCCCTAAGAACATCCACTTCATGAAAAACAACAAAAGGTCATAAAAGGAGAAACAAACCTGGAGGAATGAAATCTTCATCATCTTCATCATCCCCATTATTCTCATCATCCTCCTCTTCCTCATCACTGTGTTGTTCTTTCTCTGCGGTGGTTTCTTCTCCTCGGCTCTCCATCAGGTTCCTGCAGTCCAGCAGTTTGACGGAGCACATCTTCAGCGGCGTCTGCAGCATCTGCTGTTCTCCAGCGTTACAGTCAGAGGTTTGATCAGTGGATTCATGATCCTGAGCGTCAGTATAACAGAGTAAAGTGAGGCTGAGCTCTGAGTCCTGTGTGTCTCTGGATCTCTGATCTCTGACGCTCCAGACTGAATCCTGAGCTTCTGTCCCATCAGCCGCACGCACTGAAACCTGCTCCACATCCTGACAAACACAATCAGTAATACATCTAGTAAGAGTATGATTAAAAATAAGACATTAATTCACATAACAATCAGTCCATATTAGCAGCTGAAGATGAAATGAAGAGTTGTTCAAACTAGGGATGCACCTTTTTCGCCTCCGATACCGATACAAGTTTTTGGTTACACTTTACTTGAAGGGGTGTGCATAAGACTGACATGACACCTTCATAATCATGACATGACACACGTCATGAATATGAAGGTTTTTTATGCATGTTTATGACAACTGTCACTACGTGTCATTCACTCAGTTATGCAATTTTTAATGCAAAGATGACATTGTTTGAGATGTCTTTGTTATGGGCTATGGTTAGGGGTAGGTTTAGGTCAAATAATGTCATCTTTGCATTAAAAATGACATAACTGAGTGAATGACACCACACACAGCAGGATTATTAAAGACGCATTTATAATGAACTGATCAAACCATTTACATATGATTAGTGTTTCTTCAGACTGCCTTAATTTAAATATGACATATCTTAGTCTTCAATATATAATTTTTACACAAAAACTAAAATGTTTATTAGTGAATGGTCAAATATTTTGATCATAATTAACTTTATATTGTATATTTAACCACTGACAATCTCAACAAACTTCTATATATTAACATAATTTAGTAAAGTTCACTGCCTTCAATACGTTACTGATTCTTATTTCCAAGAATATTTACAATAATGTTTTATGGTTTTTGACAGAATGTCTGGGATAATGGTACAACCTTACGTAAAACGTTTCAAATACAAAACTGCTTAAATCTATCTAATTAACCTTAGAGACAAAAAAAGTGCTCAAGAAGCCATAATAATGTTATAAACGTGACACTAGCTTTCTCACAGTAATATTATCCTGTATGAAAATTAACCACGGTTTTACTACAAATAAAACCAAAAACCATGTTACTATAGTTAAACCATAGTAACCACAAATTAACCATGGTTTTGAAACACTAAGCATAGTTTAACCGTGGTATTTGTAGTAAAATGCTAGTCAACAACAACAACTGGCTGCTACAATGTTACTATTAATAAAACCATGGTTAACTTTCGTAAGGGACACTATAGTACATACTGGCCTGGTTTCACAGACAGGGCTTAGACTAAACCAGGATTAGGACATTTAAGTAATTTTTATTAACGTGCCTCAGAAAACACATCACTGGTGCGCATCTTGAGACAAAACAAAGCTACTGAGATGTTTTAAGATCAGTCAGTACAGGTTTCTTTCAGCTGAAACAGCTCAGACTTACATGTTAGTCTGGGACTAGGTTTAAGCCTCGTCTGTGAAAGCAGGGGGATATTAATCACCTTTATTTAATCAATCGTTCAGCTGCTGGATTTGAGGTATTACAGCATAATGTTCTGCTCCTTTCTCTGCACAGTTTAAATCGTTTTAAGCGTCCGGTACAAAATAAAGAGACACGATAACGTATATCATCAGACGGTCGCAAAACCTTAAAGCAGATTATGACATAAAGTCACACAACCGACCTGAACACGTTAATCTCGCAGCGGCAGAAAGAAAACACGGCTCTACTTCCGTTCCAGCAACAAATGACGCACTTCCGCCCCCTGCTGGACTGGCGCGCCAACATCGCTGGATATGACTTCAGTTTAAAGGGATAGTTCACCCCAAAAATGTGAAATGTG